TAATACTAATACTAATACTAATACTAATACTAATACTAATACTAATACTAATACTAATACCGATACTAATACTAACAGCAAAAGCAACAGCAAATGCAACAGCAAATGCAACAGCAAATGCAACAGCAACAGTGATTTCAGAAAACTTCGCCCACGCCAGAGGGGAAAACGCAACAGACAAAAGCTTAGTATGCGCCAGTAGGTTAAATCACCGGGCAGCAGAAGCGAGCAGCAAGAACGCAGAGCACCAAAGAAGAGCGAACCCACCCAAACAAAAACCAGAAGCTAAAACCAGAAGCAAAAACCAGAAGCAAAAACCAGAAGCAAAAACCAGAAGCAAAACACAAAAAACAAAACAAAACAATAAACAAAACAATAAACAAAACAGTAAACAAAACAGTAAACAAAACAATAAACAAAACAATAAACAGCAGAAAAACAGGCGCAAACAACGAAAGCAAACCCGAGCAACGCCCAATCCAACGAACAAAAAAAACAGAGCCAAAAGCCACCGAAGCAACCCCCAACAAGGCAGCCTCCAATCGGGCATGCGCCCGGCCCCAGGCCCACTCTTGTTTCCGCCCGCGCACCCTCTCTTTTTTCCGCCCACTCTTTTTTCGCCCGCGCCCACTCTTCTCCAGGGCCCGCCCAGACAGGCCGCGGCGCGAACTTGGCCCTCGCCCACTCTCTCTTATCTGCTCGTGTCTCCCAACCACTTGTCCGTGCCACACTCTTTGCACTCCCACCCGAGGCCCGTGAACACACCGGCACCCGTGCTCTCCCCCGGCCGCCCCGTGTTCCCCGCAGGCATAAAAAAAGCCCGAATCGAGCTCCGCAAGCGCCGCTCCACCGCCCCCCAAAACACCCTCCAACACCCCCCTCCCCCCCTTCAGCACCCGTCCAGCACCCCCTCCAAAAACCCCAAAAAAACCCCAAAAAAACCCCAAAAAAACCCCAAAAAAACCCCAAAAAAACCCCAAAAACCCCCATCTGCCAGCCCCGCCCGCACAGCACCATGGGCTACAACCAAGGCTTGGCCGTCGGGCTCGCGGTGGGCATCCCCTGCCTCATAGTGCTTCTCGGAGTGGTGTTCTTCGTGCGCCGCAACCGCCGGCTCCAGCGCAAGGAGGACCAGGCCGCCCACGCGCTCGACTTCGACATCGGCGACAACGGGCTCTTCAAGGAGTTTGGCGAGGCGCTCCACCGGCCGGCCCACCCGCCGCCGGCGCCGCGGCCCGGCTCCCCGCTGCACTCCGCCTCGTCGCAAACTCGGTCCCTGCTCGAGCACCGAAAACATTCTTCGCCCGGCAGCTCGGCGGCGGGCTCCGGGCACAGCGGGCCGAAGGCGCACGCGGCCGCGCCGCCGCCGGCGCTGCCCAGCAGGAACAGCAGCCTGGCGTACGCGTTCTACGACACGGTGATCCCCATCATGCCGCCGGCCACGCCGCCGGACGCGGCCTGGGCCCAGCCGCCGGCCGTCGGCGCGGG